TATTCGGTTCGCCCACCTCCTCCCCTCCACCACCTTCGGCTCCCCGTCCTGGTCCGAGGGGGTAGGCTCCTTCGCCTCCTGCCTGGTCGCCCAGCCAGATCTGTCGGCTTCAGAGTTGGTAGAACCAACGACCAGGAGACGGGCTTCGCCAAATCACTCTTCTCAGACTCTTTTAAAATGTCATGTCAACTACCTAAGGTCTCCTTGGTTGAATTAAAGTTGTCTCTATGCACTTTTTCTTGCTAGTCCAAGGCATGGGCTTAAATGGTTGCACGTTCATTGAAGGATATTATTATTAGTAAATTGGTTTATTATTGTTATTTTATTTTTTTATTTATTATTAGCCTGTGGAAAAAGATTACTGTTAAAATTTAAATCAGAAGGCTGCAAATAAAAAAGAGACATACGATTTTAATTTAAATTTTAAGAAATGAATGCCACTGATGTGTTTTTTTTTTTTTTATTCGATTTTGCATGTGCGCAATATTAAGTTATATATTATATAGTATTAAGCATTGCTTGTTCCCTATTGTTTTAAGTTGTTTGGGTCCATTTTTTCAATAAATATCAATGTTGGCCTGCGACTTTGTCCAAGTTTAAAATTTTGGCCCACTGTGTATTTGAGTTTGACACCCCTGGTTTAGAAGTTTCTGTATCTGTCAGCCTCAGTCGTATGAATATGCACTTTAACTAGTTTCATAGCTTATCACTATTTTGAAGAGCTCAGGCTGTGAGCTATAGTTGCTTTGGTGGTCAGAGGCTTCCGTAGTGAAGAGGCTACCAAGGTAAATGACATCTATTCAGAAAACTTGAAGGCAAACTGCACCATATGCACTATCCATTATGTGGACACCAGCTTGTTCAGCAACCAAGGATTTGAAGTTGATCCACCCTTGCTATAGCAGCTTGTACTCTTTTAGGAGGTCAACAGTCATAGTGACCTTTAATGCAATGTCACGTGTTTCTGAATAGCTAATGTATAGCAAAGTTATTTACCTTTCATTGTAACTGTATAAATAAATGGCAAACTAATCAATCAATCTCCTAAACATTTATTCACTACAAGATAATGTAGAACCTGAAGCCTATACTAAGCATTACATGGCACAAGGCAGGAGGACATCCTGGATGTGATGCCAGTCCATCACAGGGCACATACACACATATACACATAATGGGTGATTTAGAAAAGCCAGTTTTGTCTAACTGTAGGTCCTATGGAGTGAGAGAGGACACTGGAGTACAAAGAGGAAACCCACACCACATGGAGAGAGAATGTAAATGCACAGGAGTGGGGGCAGAAATCAAACCCCCAACACTGTAGGCGTGAGATAACAGTGTTACCCACAAAAGCACTGTCATCTTTCCACATTAATAAAAAAATGCAATTATTGCTTTTTCTTATGGGAGAAAAGATAATCTAATTTATAAACATGCACATTGCATCTAAGATTTTCTTTAATGATTTCATTCATTGATTGTAGGTGCTGCAAAGTGATTCCATACAATAATGTAAAATATATTTTTCAGATTTTAAACATTATTTTAAACATTAAATATTTAAACAATATTATTTTTCTAAAAACAATGTTGTAGTTCTTAGGGAATGTTAGGTAAATTCCCTCCAAAAATAAGTGCATACAATGAAAGATATTAGGAACCCACCTTTATTTGTGTCAAAGATATTGATGTTCTTGGTGAATTTAGAACTTTGGTGGGAACCCCCTTGCCGGAGTCCTCCCAGCCAGTAGAGTCGTCCCATTTCATCCCACACCACTCCTGAGTAGGATCTTTTGCAAGGCAAACTTGGAAGTGTTGTCCAGGAGCGAGTCTCAAAATCAAAGACCTCATAGGCTTTCACACATCTTTTATTCTGACGTCCCCCTATGGCCAGAAAGAAATGTTATGTTTTTTAGACAAACACAATTAGAAACTCAGTGCCATAAATGATGCCTATTTGTCTTAATTTAACATGACATGCCAATGCAGTTATCAAGTATGAAGTTAGTTACTTCCCATATACATGGAAAATTAGCATGTTTGTTTTGGTCTTTTGGAATGGTTTAAGTATCCCTGTCCAGCCAGCATGTCCATATGGGCCCCATGTGGGTTTTATATGGGTTTAATAATGGGTCCCAATTGGTTGACTCATTTTGGACCGGGCTTGGTCTCTGTATGTGTCACGCCCAGCTCCGTACGATCCTTGTGTGTGCCACGCCCACCTCGTTACCTCGTTTTTATGCCTGATTGTTCTCACCTGTTGCTCGTTAAACTCAGTTTGTCTTGTGTATTTAGTCCACGTCTCGGTTAGTTTCCCCCAGATCTGTCATCGTCGATAGCTTGTGTGAGTACCAGTCCTGTCTGTTTGACCGTAATAAACCCCGTTCTTCCATCAGCCTGGCTGCTCTCGCCTCCATTGCCTGCTCGTTGCTCGCACAGCGTGACAGTATGAGCCCAAAGAGGGGCAGCCCAAGTTGCATATTTATGGGTGTAAGATGGGAACAGTGTGGCGTTATAACTGGAAGGGTTTATATGGGATTTACATTTCCCCCTTTAACTACAGCCCAAGTGTTTTTAAAGGGTATTTATTAGATAAGAAATGGTTGCAATTTGGGGCCATCCCAATGTGTTAAGTGGTTTCAGCTCAGATGGTACACTTTAAGGACACAGAGTAGAGTATTTGATGTACCGGACCAGTTCAGAAAGACTTGTCTCACTGTAGGACTTTTGGTAAACTTGGAATTCAAGAGTTAATTAAAATAAACTGCAGAATTGTAAGTTTTCAAATGAAAATAATACAGTGATAGTGTTTATAAACCTGAGAAATCAAGTGACCATTTATTGCTTTTAATATTTTACATATTTGGTTTATAACATTTAAACAACAATTTAAAAAACAACAAAATAAACTGTTTTACAAAAGTAACTGCAATTTTACGGAAGTCCTGAACCGCATTTGATGAATGTTTTTTCAGAGACAATAAGTCATTATTTCAACATAAGTCATTATAACGAGATATTATCTCGTTATTTTGACACAATAAGTCGTTATAACAAGATATTATCTCGTTATTTTGACATAACTCATGTTAAGCTTTGCACCAATATTAAACAATGCATTAAGTCATGCTGACGCACTGTTAACATCAGTAGCTTACTTGGTACACTAACGACCCATGTATTTCTGGGAATTTTACATAGTTTGTGCTTTCATTCCAAGTTAACCCTTACTGATGATAACCTTATATAGACCATTAATATGATCCATATCTTTCTTATCGTTTGTCATAAATCGCCTATAAACTTATCGTGTGTAGCATTTCATAACATTTTATATTCCACTAATTCTTTCTAAAACATTGCCTGGGTAATTCATCTACATCCGAACTGAAAATCAGAATAACATTGACCGATGAGCCAG